CACCTTCAGGCGTTATTCTGTGGACCCAACTGCCGAGCTCTGGCGCTTGCATACGCGCTGTGCGAAATGTGGTACCCCTCCCCATACTATGCTCCGACACCGGACAGTGGGACACAGCCTCTGGTCATGGGTATGTCTGATGCGGAAGCGCAGCAGCACGGTCTACCCGTGCCAGCAGTGCAGGCGGACTGCCCACCTGCAGCATACAACTTCGAACGACTGGCGGGGTGTGCAAACGGCGGACTGCCGCCTCCATCGCGACATACCGCCTGCCGTGCCCATCACGCTGCCGTCATACGCAGTACCCTCACCCACAGCCACAGTTCGACATGCAAGCGGCATGGCTGCCGCGGTACCGATGACAGCTGCGGCATGGCCTTTCCCCGACTCATCCGCACAGCCTTTCAATGGATCGGTACCACCGGCCTATTCTTGCTGCCCTGCCTGGCACCCAACCTCGTGCCACACATGCCTGCCATTGCCCTCGCCTTCGGCTGCAATCATTTGATGTCCCTGGCCTGCGAAGTCGACCGGGAGTACACAGCTGACATCGCTGCCCAACTAGCGCGTCCTCCCAACGAACACGGTGACTGCTCCCTCCTACAGCCCGCCATCGACCGCGCCCGTGACGCCGCGTACTACAGCTCTAAGTACACTGCAAAGACGATTGAACGCAGCCAGGCGCACCTCACATGTGCCGCCGTGGGCCGTGTACAGGACTTCATGATGGCAGGTCACCGACCCAGCGCCACCGGTGATGGACCCAGCACGTTCGGCAACCTGTGTACCGTGGTGCACCGCATGACGGCCACTATCACGGCTGGCATGGCACTGGTCGCCTTCAAACTGTCAGGCCACGATACGTTCCAAGCAACCTACAAACGCAACTACCTACCGATAGGTGCCTTCACTGCACTGGCGTCCGAATCCGCCGTAGAACCAGAAGACGCGGAAACTGGTGTGGAGCTTGTAGAGGCGGACGAGCATGGCGACTACACCCTCACCAGCGTCGTACAGAACTACACGCAGCGTGGAGTGGAGCTGAGCGGCTTGGACTGCAGCGCCTACAGCATCGCATCCAACTTCGAGGTGAAACGTATAACGCCCGCGCAGCACCCCCATGCTGCCATCCTCAGTGCCCAAGTCCTCCCTGTACCTGGCCGCCGCAAGCGCAAAGCCCCTGGCGCCGCTATGACCCCTACTACTGACGCACCTCCCACCCCATCTGGCACCCAGCCCACCGCCGCTATGGCGTCCCCTGCGCCAGCTGGCCCATCTGCAGAACAGCTGCCCACGAGCCCGATGTCGACCATACCTCCCAAGAATGTGGCCTTCCAACCAATGCACCCGCTGTATCTGACACACGTTCTTCATCGCCTGGCGCAGCCGAGGTACGTTCTGCTGGGCGGTGCGCTGCCCCGCCGCCCGCAAGAAGGCAGCATCACCGCAGTCGCCGTCGCCTACTACGCATTTGTCTTAGGCATCTTCAAGGCTCATCGCGGCCAACCGGTGGCTGCCGATCAGACGGTGAAAGAGGCGTATGATGCATGGTGGATGGACCTGGGATCCACCGAGGCAGGCCGATTGTACAGAGCCTGTGTAAGTGTCCTGCTAGACAACATCGAAGCAGAGCACCTCGCCAGCGCCCGGCGCCAGGCCGACTACAACTTGCGACGCCGCCAGCGCCGCGCCACTGCTGCAACTGCCGGTCTGGCCCCGGACAACAGTTCCAGCGACCCGGATGATGACGACCCGGAAGCTGCACGAGGCCGCCTCGAACCCGACCCCGCCACACAGCCGCCGCAAGATGATCAGGTCGAACGGTACGACTTTGTACCAGGCCAAGGCGACCCGACGCTAGGAATCAACCTGTCCGATGTCGCCCTGACGGACCTGTATGACCGCACCACAGTGGAGGGCCTGTACGCATACGGTGCAGCTCGGCGTTGCCGTGTACTTCCTCTTCCCAATGCCCTCGGTGCCAACACCAACCCCTTCATCCGCCGTGTACGCACCACTGACATCCCGCTGCTGAGCGAGGCTTCCAAGCGCCTGAAGCGCTACCTAGTCATCTCCGAAGGCACCGCCACCATGCCGACCATGACGGACCACACCCCCCATCTTCGTTTGGATCGCCACCCCGGCTACCCCCTCGTAGCAGTCATCGTGACCGACACCCAGCAAACCAACCATATCACAGCGGGAATGCCAACTTACCTACGTCTACCACAGCCACCGAGCATCGACGACACCATCGAGCTCTTTACCCTGGCGCCGGATCAGGCCGTACCATTCATGCTCATGGCACGTTATTTCGACCACCGCAACGAACCTGATCCAGGCGTCCCGCCGCAGATGCTCATCATGGGTCCTCCGGGCACGGGCAAGACTCAGTTCGTACACACTCTACTGTGGTACACGTATCAGCATGACAGTCCCGACTGGGCCGCCACATGTGCATACTCCTGGGCTGCCGCGATCGCCTTCAACACCCCAGTACACCGCAGCCTATCGACCCACTCCATGTTCGGCATCTCAGCCAGTCAAAGCGGCTCCCGTGGCGCCAACCTTCCCAAGCGCGGCGCCCACGCCGGCCTTCAGGTCAAGCGCAACGTCGGTGATGGGGCCGTCCTCATCGACGAAATTGGCATGCAAAGCCACGAGCACCTCGGCGCCATCAGCCACTCCTGTACAGCCAATGTGCCGCCTCCACCACACCTTGGACCCGCCCATCCCAGCAGCCGTGTCTTGTCCGGTCGCGTTGCTGGCGGAATCGGCGACCTGCTGCAGCATCCTCAGCCAGGCGGGTCGCCGCCATACCGCTACGCCGCCAATGGGATCCTCAGAGTCGACC